CCCCCTGTACCACTTTGCACTGCACCACACAAAAGCAGTTGTTTAAGTCATTATTTTTCAAAAATGGAGATTATTCATGTCCTCAAAAGAATTTTCTATGGCCACCTCTAAAGCAAAGCATGGCCTTGATGTCCTCACATTCAACAATACAAAGAGTCCCTAAACATAAATGTTATGCTAAGAGTTAGTAGAAACTTTGATGCACAATATGGTACCATGATATCTCACAATTTGAAAAACATTTCACAGAGACAACTGTTGAAGAGGTGGGATATCATAAGATAGCCAAGTGATGATTTGAATTCTTTGAGCTGCTGGACGGCTTCAGGATAAGATTGCTCCCATATAAAAAGAACCATCCTCAGAATCTATAATGGGTTATTATGGTTCATCAATTGATTTCTTTGTCCAAATTCTTTCCTTTATTAACAGAACTTTTTGATAAAATACTGACACATTGTGGTGAAAAAAGAAGTTGTATTTAGTTCCTCTATCGATGTGATTCCCCAGGAAAAGTTGGAAAGTATAGACATCTGTTTATCATCCAAAATTTTAAAGAGAAAAATTGAATCTTTCCTTAAAAAATATTTTTAGAGAAAAGCCATAAAAAGGTTATTTTTCATTTTTGAGATGATGGCATATTGAATAAGAGGGGGAAATGAATAAAACAAAACAAAAGAAGTAAAAGCTTTTGGGTAAAGCCTTGTTTTATGAAGATCTTCAGCATAGTCCAAATGAATCTGTCAAGAATCAAAGGCTTAGGAGGACGGAGCCAAGATGGCAGAGTAAAAGCAGTGACTTGCTTGACCTCCCCCAAACCCCTCCAAGAATCAAAGCCTTGTATGACTGAATGGCCAGGTTTTCTGCTAGTATATCCTCATACAGTTAAGCACTAATGAAATTCAAAATGGTCTCATTCTTTCTTGCACAGACTCATGAATACATTAAAATTCCATCTGGCCATCGCTGTTTCACCATTGCCCTTTACATGTGTAGCTGCATCACAGTCTTCAAAGAACCACTACCTAGGGGATGAACAGGGGTTTAGAAAACTGAAACAATTAGGCTAAGTGATTTTCAAAGACTTGAGATTATCTGATGTTAGGTACTATGTGCAAAACACCAAGCCTTCAGTGTTCAGTTACTAATTGTTCTTCCCATTAACACTTGTTCATCTGTATGATTAGAGATTCTTAAATTTCCTAGGTGCATCATTATCTCATAAGGCACAGTCAGGAGCTTTGACTAATTAGATTTCTGCATACAAACTTTCCCCAGATCTTGGCTAAACATTTCTTTGTAGAGCCTTGCAATCCTGAAAAGCCTATGCTTGCCAGTTAGGGAAATGGAACACAAAGCAAGATTATTATGACAATGAAACTTCATATTAGGGCTAAAAATTAATAGGAACAATTGATCATCAGGCATATAATTATTTGGAATAAATGAAGGAATAAGGCTTTCTGTCTGAGCAGATATTCACTATTAGAACTGTTATGCACTAAGGTGAAGGATTGGCATCAAATAAGGGAAGTTAATGAATATAATCATATTGCAAGTACTACAATATTTTTTTAATCCGAGGCAGTGTAATATAGTAGAAATGCCAATAGACTATGACCAAAAACTCAAGTTTAAGTTCCTGCTCCAACATTTAATCCTAGATTAATAGCATGCCTTCTCTAAACTGTAATTTCTTCATCTGTAAAATGAGGATAAAAAAAATCACTATTTAACTTCCTGGATTTAATATCAGTGGTTGGAAAGAGTTTTATAGAATTGAAAATCCTAAAATAAAGGTTAGTTATTGTCATAACATCAGTGATTTTATACAACAATTGTGATTTTATTAACATATTTGTAATTATGGGATTGCTGGTAGTTTATACTTGAGAGGGAGGATCATTTTCACATTGGCTATATCTTACATGAGTAGTGAAATATCTTTAGAAAAACAAAAACATAAAAACTTCATTAAAATACAATGGATTGTTGCCACAGTTGTTAAAGCAGCTTCTAAGGGTGCCTTACTTAATAGTTTAGGTATTAGAAAAAAATTACTTATTTTTCTGTTCTTACAAAGTAAAGAGGACCAAAAATATTCGGTGGTATTCTAAAGGTACATGAATGGACCAGAGACAAAGTTGAAATTTAGAACTAAAACAATGCATTTGTTGTTTATTCCTCTATATGCAATGAGCCCTCATATGAATTGATGGTCTCAAAAGTATTCATATATGAATCTAACACTTTCCACTGCCCCACACTGCCTTCTGATAGGGCTTGCTAAATCAAAGGTCAATGACCTCCTTAGCCTTGATTGCTACCAACTAATACTTCAGAGTGTCACTGGCAAGTTTAAATTGTAGGAAGGCAATAAAAAAATAGAGAGAATAAAGAGAGAAACAAAACAAGTGGAGGTATATAGGAAAAATTTTGTTTAAGGCAAGCAAATAGTGAGTGAAATTAGTATGCTGAATTAAATGCGTAAGCTAGGGTGAAAAAAAGGATAATACAACTCTACAAGGAATCTTGTATCCAAATTAAGAGGGAAAATAAAATCTAGTTTGGGATGGTTGACAGCAGAAGTGACAGATGAATTGGGAATGAACTTCACCTTCTTTACTGCTGCTTCTGGGGCAAGGATTGCCACAAAAATATTCTATTTATATGCTGGAAATGTTCTTTATAACCACCTATTCCCACATTTATTGAAAGGAGAAAATGAGACCTAAAGCTCCACAGAATCATATTATCTCTGAGTTGGAAAGAATTGTAGAGGTCATTTAGTCCAACATGTACTTGAAAAAGAATCTCCTCTATGACAACCTTCACGTGAAGACATCGAGGAAAGGAGACCCAAGGCAGCCCAGATTGCTTTTGAACTGCTCTGATTGTTAAGGATTTTCCTCACATCAAGCCCAAATCTGACTCTACAACTTCTACTCATTTCTCCTAGTATTCCCCTCTTGTGCAAAAAGAACAAATCTGTTATGTGACTGTCTTCTAAATAAGTGAAGATGACTGAGACTACTGACTCCTTTTCTCCCCACTGTCAAGCCTTCTCTTTGTCTAGTCTAAGCATCCATAGTTCTTTCTGTCATACGGTCTTCAGTCCTTTCATCATCTTTGTGGCCTTTTTGACACAACCCAGATTAAAAACCTCTTTCTTAAAATGTGGCACCTTAAATAAACACAGTGCTCCAGATGTGGTCCAGGTATGTGTTGCAGATAAAGCACAATATGGGGATGCTATCAATTGCCTCAGTGTTGATGAAAAGGTTTGTTACAAAGAGAATTAAATTTGGAAACAGGTAGCCTAGTTTTAATTACACCTCTATTGCTTACTAGCTATGCAGCCTTAGGGAAATCACTTCATTTCTATGGATTAAAAGATATTCATCAATTAAATGTGGACATTTCACTGGGTGATGTCTAAAGTCCCTTCTATGAAAATTAAATGAAAATTCCTGGCTTCCTTAAAGTCTCAGCTAAAGTCCCACCTTCTATAAGAAGCCTTTCACAGGCATGCTTAATCTTAGTACCTTCCTTCTGAGATTATCCCTAATTCATCCTGTATTTAATCTTCTTTTTATGTATTTGTTTTTCTTTTTCCTCCCGTTAGACAGTGAGCTTCTTGAGAACAAGGGATATTTTTTCCCCTTTCTCTATATCCTCAGCATTTGGCACAGTGCCTGGTATGAAGTAAATGCTTAATATATATATTTTGACTGACTGCTTTGATTGATTTTCTAACTACTTCAACACAGGGAAGAGATACTCCCTGAATCAGCTCTTTGTAGAAGCAGTAAAACAATCAAACCTCTTACAAAACCATTTGGCATGAATGAATCTTGAGGAACCATTTGATCTAATTCTCACTTTTTTGATAGAGAGGAGATACATGTAAGACATTTTCAAATTTTAAACCTATGTAGAATGAGATTTTACAACCTTCTTCCATAACCAATGTTGAGCACTTTTAATTGATTTTTTGAGAGATCAAAGGGCAGCAATGACCTTTAACTACTCATTTTAAAAAAAGACTCTTTCCCCTCCCAGGTCATTCTCAACATCATATGACCTCATGAATACTATTATTGTACTTCTGAGTTCTTTTCCTCACACTCTTTAATCCTTCAGTGGCCCAGAAGAAATCAATAAGATTGAGGTATATGGGATGGGGTTGGGTGGGATAGAAAACAGGTGTATTGGTGCAATTTAATGAATAAAGCACTTTACATTTTATAATTAAAAGGTATTGTGTGTGTGTGTGTGTGTGTGTGTGTGTGTGTGTGTGTGTGTGTGTATATATATATATATATACACACACACACATACATGTACAAGTATAGATATAAGTATGTATGTACATACATACATATATATATATATATATATATATATATATATATATACACATGAACTGTTATCATTATCATCATTATATCATTCTCTTTTTTGATGAGTTTCAGATAGAAATGGTCTTGGGACAAGTAACTATTCTTTTATACTTAACATCCTATGCAATGTTGCACAAGTTAATAGATTAGGCAGCTAGGTGGCTCTGTGGATATAATGCCAGACTTGGAAACAGGAAGACCTGTGTTCAAATCTTGCCTTAGGCAGTTATTAGCTTTGTAACTTTGGGTGAGTCACTTAACCCCTCAGCCTCAGACATTCAGGTGGGCAGACAACAAGCATTGATAAATGCCTTACTATGTTCCAGGCATTGAGCAAAGTCCTGAGATACAAATGTAATTTTTAAAAAAGACAGTACTACCCTCATGGAACTTCCATTTTTTTTATCTGTAAAATTAAGATAATAAGATCACCTACCTCTCAGAGTTTTTGTGAGGGTCAAATGAACTAAGAAATGCGAAAGTACTTCAAAAACCTTTAAATACTATATAAATGTTAATTATTAGTTTTGTTTAATTAACAATAATTATTATTATTAAATATTTGAAAGAAAGGAATTTTAATCTTAAAGCTTTGGCTCATTCCTGAAGATGGAATTATCAGGCTATCATTTTTCATTTATGGGCCACAGACACTAGTTTTTCCTTTATCATAAGTCATTTTGATTTTCTCCTGATGCTAGCCATGAAGTCATATGAACAATGGCTATGTTTGCTCATGGCCCAAACATCCATCAATCCCATTTACTTAATCAAGAATTCAGCACAATCTCTGACCAAGTGGACTGAATTACAGAAGGGCAAGCATGGTCTTCAGCTCATTTAGAAGCTGAGAGAATGATGCTAATGATGTAATTGGACAAGGTGGTCTTTCTATACTTCTATGGACTCTTTATATGTGGTCTTTCTATATTTCTAGGGACTACTACTGTCAATATCAGGATCCAACCTTGGAAATCCAAGAATTACCTCAGGATGTAGTGATTTCCCTTCACAAAATAAATTTACTTGAGACATTTAATTTATTGAGACTAGAAGTTTACTTCATGCCTCCATTGTTATTCCTTAGACTTTTCTACCTAAAGTGAAAAATGCTCTTGTGAGAAATATTCAAACACTAGCAAAAAGAATTTAAAATGGATTGATTTGTTGATGGAGCAAAGGAATATTAATTCCATTTGGAGTAAAACCATATATTGTAATTAAATAAAAATTGAAAAATATTTGCTGGATCCCTTGTCATATGACTTGGTATCAATCTATCAATCAGTCAACAAAATCTACGTTCCATGCATTGTAATGTAGGTTGTAGGAATACATATGGTGAAAGATTCAAACAGGAAAACTTGGAGCTAGCACTTCAATGTTATTTATGCCTGTATTTCTAAAGCTAATGAAGAGTATCCTACATAAACTGAGATTTTGATACAATATTCTCAGGAGTCAGTTCCAAGTTCCCAGATGATCTTAGCCTGTGGAGATAATAAGGATTAAGTAAGACATTAGAAGGTGCTGGAATTATCTGCAAGGTTCGTGAAGATTGTGGTCATAAGCAGAGGCAGCTAACTCTCTGGACACTTGCAGGATGGTAGCTTTCTCTGTGTTTACTTACAGAACTTTGAATAGAAGTGCTCAAGTGACAGAAGTATACATTAAAATTATTAAATCAGCTCTTAAAACAGTTTTCAAGAATATTGAATTTTTGAGTCAAAGGCCTAAAAAACAGTTAACAACATAATGTGATACATGAAACATTGAAGTGAAAATGGCCATTTGAAAAACCATAATGAGATGTTCTGTCATATTTTTAAAAAGTATTTTGAACGGTTTGGGAATTGCATTTATATTAAAACTGTTGGAAATTAGGAATCATAATTAGATTTAAAGCATCAGCCCTAAGCTAGTTTGATCATTCTCAATACTCTTGTTGAAGGGAAAGCTAAAAATGTGGGAATGGCAGAAATTGTTGCTGCATGTTCAGCAAGAAAATCTTGATCAAGAGGCACTTGATGTCAGCAACTATAAAAGTGACACTCCACTGTTTGGGGAGTATTATGGTTAGTGCTGTAGAGTCAGAAGACCTGGGTTCAAATGTTGCCTCTGATACTAACTACCTATATGACCCCAGGAAGTCTCTTAGCTTACCTGGATTCTATTTCATTATCTCTGGTAGGAGGAAGTTGAATCAAATGGCTTCTGAGATCCCATTCAGCATTCAGCTCTTCATCTATGATAACATGATCCTACTCAAATTGGCATGTAACCTTATTAATTACATAGCCTTACATAAATTCACTATAGTGAGTTCACCCAACATGCATCATTCTTCCTTACATTCTTTCAACATCAAAAGGATAACAATGGAATATAAGAGCTACCTATCAGTTTTTATTTGTTTCCACTGGCCCATTTTCCATTCAAACATGTCTCTTTTCAGTAGTTCTATCTGGGGTGGAACAGGTAATGAGTTTGTGGATAAGGAGACAAGGGTTAAGATTAAGAATATAGTATGAAGTCTCTATAGTTATTATTTTTAAAAGCTTGAACCACTTGTCAAAGGGCTGCAGTCATTAATATGTTTCTACGAATGTAAGTTTAGTAGCTGGCAGGAATTTTAAACGAAACTAGTAAGTCAGTTGTTGGCAGTCATATTTCTACATGTATCTAAGAAACTGAAGCAAACAGACTAAAGTGACTTGCCCAGGGATACACAGCTTGGGTCAGAGTCCAGATTTGATCTCAGGTCTTTCTAACTCCACATCCAGTACCACCTTACTGTCTCTACAAATAAAGTTACTCTCATATTACCTGTTATTGATGGCTCCATGTCAGCTCTTCGTTATCAACACTTTAATTTTTTTAGGTATTCAGTATTTCATAAATTACACCTCCTAAAAATTTACCGGGAATCAAAGTCATGCTCACCATCTTAATAGTTTGAAGAATGTTTTCTCATTACTTTTTTAGAAGATCTGGAAAAACATTTGCCTGTGTATAGTCCTCTCATATCTCTCCCATTCCTTAGGTTCTTTTAAATATCATTAACAGTGTCTCAAAAGTATTTCTTACAGTTCATTAAGCAACCAATGAGGTTATTCATGTGGGCCAGGTAACCTAACCTCGTCAAGGAAGACAAAGTCTTCTATCAAATTCTTTTTGCTTACCTTGGTTATCTGCTTCCTACAAACCACTCTTCTTCCTTCTTTTTCTACGTAGGTCATTATCCTTGACAGAGAAAAGAGCAACAAAATAAGAGTTCTTAATCAAAAATCTAAAATGATCTAAAAAAATCTAAAATCTTAAAAGCTTTTCCTTCTCCATGTAATTAGTTGCCATTATCTCATCCATCCCAAGTATCAGTTATAGCCTTTTGTTGATCTTCCCCATATTCTCAATATAGCTGAAAAAAAGAAAGACTTCCTCTTTTCTTTAGCTTTTATCATCAGAGCATAAGTGCATTAATGAGATATGACAAATTATAGATTTACTTTCATGGTTTGTCCATTTTGAAAATGTGGCATAGAGAAGGATGCTTCCATAGATAGCAGGAACATAACTAATAAACAGCCTTGAAGACTTTTCTTAGGGCCTTGTTATATGGAGGATTTCCCATTTCCTCAGCTGTTATCTCCATGTTTTGTGGTCCTCCAGGAGCATGTACCACATAATATGTCTTCATTAGACCCCATAATATGTGAACCTGTGCTATATGTGGGTACAGATGGATATGAACTCTATGAAGGATTAATAAGAGAACAATGGTAAGAATTGCACATGCATGTTAGGCTATTGGTATAGCTGCAAGTTGGATCAAGAATTCTGTAAAATAATTTGGAATTTTGTTAGAAATGTCACTAAACTTTACACTTTAGTCATTAGCCCAGATATTTCACAGCAGAGACACCTGAAATAGGTGAAATCAGTGATTATGGAATTGTACCAGCTAAGTTTGTAGATAGGAGATTAGTATATGGACATTACAACTGATATTGAGCAATTCCAGATGAACAAAAAAGCTTCTTGAAGGCAGAGAATCAACGAAGTCTCCTGGAGAATCAATTAATTTGGCTGAGATGTCATTCCAAGTGAAGTATTACTCAAGCACATTGTTGATCAATTCAGCTGAGCAGTTGGAAATATTTGATCAATGCAAAATCATGTTCATTAAGGAAATCTTGTAGAAAGTTCTTTAGTGAGACAAAGGGAATCACAGTTTGTATTCCAGAGTTGTGAATCACCTCAAGCAAGTAGGTTTTCCTTATTTGCATGACTCCTTGAAAGGTTTCTGTAAGTGTATGCCATCTCTTCCCCACAGATACTGAATGCATCAGTGAGAAGGAATGACCTACATTTATATATGGTCTCATTATTGTTGTTGTTGTTGTTGTTATTATTATTATTATTATTATTCACATACTTGCCATAACATATTAGCACTGTTATGCTATTATAATTTGTTTTGTTTTAAGAGTATTTGGGGGAAGATGGCAGAGTAGGTCAAAAAATTCCAAGTTCTCCAGATTTCACCCATAAATAAGACAAAATATCACCTAGTGGTGAATGTAGAAAGCAAAAATAAACAAGAGTTGGGGCAGAACATTGGTCCTCCTTGGACAACCAGAGAAGATCTGAAGAAAGATCCCAGAATGGAGGTTTCTGCTGGAGTGAAGTATAAACACTTTCAGGCTAGCTCCACTGAAACAGTAAACAGCAAGCCATGGGGGCAGCTGGGTTGGGAGATAGCCTCAGCCTCCACCATAGGAATTTTCACCTCCTAGACAGTGTGGGGAGTTGCCATCTGAGAAGGGGAACATTGAGGGAGCCTCTGCAGACAAGGAATGTGAGGCCTAGCTGTGCTGCCAAGACAAAGGTCTGGGCAAGAAGGAGCAAGCATACACCCAGCAAATGCAGAAGCAATGGGGTGGGGACTCTACAGGCTGTAGGCACTTAAAGGAGAGCTGAGTCCTTGGCATAGGTTCCAGTACAGAGGGGAGAACTGAAGGTCAGAGCCACTGGAAGGTTCTCAGGGAACAAGAGCATTTCCAACATAATATGCTGGGGAGCCCTAGCTGTGGTTTGGAGGGGGAAAGGAGTGCAGAGTTTGGGCCCAGGACAAAGCTCAAAAAATAACAGCAAGAAGGACATGAAGCCGGAGGCACCATCCCCCACAGCCCAAGATCAGAAGTGATTATAATAACAAGCTGCTAATTTTTTTTAAATGAGCAGTCAAAGAAATACCCAACTGTAGACAGTTACTACAGTAATAGAGAATACTGTGATTCATCCTCAGAGGAGGATACTGACACAAAAAAAATGCCTCCCCTACCCCAAAGAGTAACATTAAATGATTGGCTACCCAAAATAATTCATAGAAGAACTCTAAAAAGATTTCAAAAATCAAATGAGAGCGATTGAGGAATTAAAAAAAAACTAAGAACAATCTAAGAAAAACAAGAACATGAAAAGAAAGTTAGCTGACTAGAAAAGGAAATCCAGAATCTTAAGAAAGAAAATGACTCCTTGAAAATTAGAATTGGGCAAGGGGAAGCCAGTAAAATTATAAGAGACCAAGAAATAATAAAACAACATATAAAGAATGAAAAAATAAAAGAGAATATGAAATATCTTATAAGAAAAACAACTGATCTGAGAAACAGATCAAGAAGAGAAAACATAAGACTAATCAGATTACCTAAAAGCTGGGGTAAAAAAGAATCTTGATATAATAATACAAGAAATAATGAAAGAAAATTGTTCTGAAGTGTTAGAACAAGAGGGGAAAGTGGAAATAGAAAAAAAAAATTCACCAATAACCACCTGAAAGAGATGCTCAGACAAAAACCTATAGGAATATCATAGCCAAATTCTGAAACCCCCAAGTTAAGGAGAAAATATTATGAGAAGCATAAAAAAAAATTCAAATATGGTGGTGCCTTAATTAAAATTATGCAAAACATAGCAGTGGTTACACTAAAAGACTGCAAGTTTTGGAACACTTGAAGAGCAAAAGAACTGGAGTTACGGCCAAAAATATCATATCCAGCAAAGTTAAATATAGTCCTGGCCATTAAATGAATTGACAGATTTTCAGGATTTTATTACAAAAAGACTTGAACTTAATAGAAAAGTTGACATACAAGATCCAAGTGAAATATAAGGTAAATATCAAACTCAATAAGATTGATTTGTTTACTTTTTACATGTGGAAATGTTAACCATATGTCTAAGATTGTCATTAGTAATTGAAAGAAAGAGTGGTAGAGCTGAGTTTCATGTGATTCAAAAAAGCAAAATGATGTAGGAAAAGGTAAAAAAAGTAATTATATTACATGAATGAGGTAGAAGAGAAATAACTGATATAGAGGAATTACATGGGGGAGGAGGGCAAGTAGTTTTGGAATGCTGCTACTCTCACTAGGAATGGGTTAAATGTCTAGAAGAGTATAAAAGTCTTCTGAACTCAGAAACAAGAGGATAAAGGGATAGGTAGGGGGAAGAGAATAAGAAAGGGATTGGGAATAGAATAGGGGAGTAGAGAAGGATGTGTGGATTAACTGGAGTGGGATAAAGAGGGAAGTACATATATATTAGAAGAGCACAAAATTCTTCTAAATTCAGAAAGAAAGAAGAGAGTGAGAAGACAGAGTGGAAATAGAGGATAAGGGAGGGATTCTTGGAGGGGGCTAGGTTAAGGAATAGGAGGACAAGGTAGCAGGTAGAAGTAAAGTAGAGGGGTGAGAAGGGATAAGAACAGGCTGAGAAGGATAGTGAGGAAAATAGGAAGGAGGAAAATATATAACAAGTAATTATAGTTTAGAACGTAAATAGGACGAATTTACCTATAAAAATGGAAACTGATAGATTAAAAATTGGAATTAAACAATATGTTGCTTTCAGGAAATGCTATAACAATGAGAGAAACACACAAACATAAAATAAAGATTGGGAGTAGAATATATTATATTAAAAAAAAGCATGGATAATAATCATGATCTCAGACAAAGTTAAAGCTAAAATCAGAAGCAATCAAAAGAGATAAATAGGGTAACTACACTGTCAGCCATACTAATCAATAGTTTTAGATAATATAAAATAACTAGACAGAATAAAATTAAATGTGAGAGCATACCTGCCAAAACAGGCACAGGAACTATATGAATATAAACAGAAAACAACTTTTTTTCCAAATAAAGTTAGATCTAAATAATTTAAATAATATTTATTGTGCATGGGTAGATAAAATTAATATAACAAAAATTGAAAATTTTACCTAACTGATCTACTTATTCAATGCCACCCCAATTAAATTACTAAAAATTCTTACTGCATCAGAAAAAATAATAACAGGGTTCAGTTAGAAGAGCAGAGGGTCAGAAACTTCAAGGAAATCAGGGGTAAAAGATGTGAAGGAACTAGATTCAGTAAAATCAGACCTTAAACCATATTATAAGGTGAGAGCAGGGATGCAGTATAAAATGGATAATTTTGATTATTTTAAATTAAAATTTTCCTGCATAAATAAAACCCATGTAGCCAAGAATATAGGGAATGCAGAAAATTTTGGGAAAAAACTCAAAGACAGTCTCCCAGATAGAAAATTATTGGGTCAGAATATTGCTATGGTATAGGAAATGATGAGCTGATGGGCTTAGAAAAATATGGAAAGACTTGGACTTATGAAGGAAGATGCTGTCCACCTTCAGAGAAACAGATGACATGTGGAAATAAGCATAATATGGTCTTCTGTATATGTGTTTGTGTATGTATGTGTATGTTTATGGATATCTCTGTGTGTGTGTGTGTGTGTGTGTGTGTGTGTGTGTGTGTGTATGCTTAATTATAGCCTTCTTTGGGGGTGGGGAGGAAGAGGAAAATTAAAGTTAAAAGTACACAGCAGATGACAAAAGAAAACATACAAGAAAGCAAAGAAAAGATGCATAGCTTTGAAGATAATGTGTACTATTCATTATACAGGTTTTCTTGAAATGGAAATGTATTGCTTCATATTGAATCCTCTCTTATGTTCTGCTATGTCCATGGGAACGCTTGTTTCCTTTTTTTTCTTATTTTGCATTTAAGTTTAACATAAAATTAAAAAATAAAAATGAGCATTTGTTTGAAATCTAAACATGTCACAATTTCAGTGTCTGACTTTATATATATGGAAACTCATAAAAGCTAAAGTAGTAAGTCTAGAAAGTGAATTCCCTCACAATCATTACCCT